AAAAAAAAAAAAAAAAAAGAATAGTCTAAATTGTCTGTTTCTGGAGGGTCAGACTAACTTGCCTTACTACATGTCTTCTGTTCACACAGAGATGTGTTGGTCTCAACATATGAAGGGAGGTTTGGGGGGCTCTTCTGTACTCATATGATTTAGTTAATTTGTCAAAGCTTTGGCCCTTCAATGTTAGGTTTAGCAATTCTGAGTGATTTTAGATTAAATTATAAAAAGAGTAACTGGCAACTTGCAAAGTAGGAACACAAATGACTTTGCATATTTGTAATTTATTTTGTTTTCCTGAGTAACAGCCCATGCTCTTGCTGACATAGCAGACCTTGGCTCTAATAGATTTTAAATAGGTGCTGGGTATATCCTTGCCAAAATGTATGCAGTTCCTAACCAGGTTGTTGAATTTCTTAGCAAAATCCTTCTGAGAAATTCAACCGCATCCATTTGTCTTTTAGAGAACTTGCATATTATTAATTGGTAAATGAGAAGAAAGACTAGCATCTTAAACGAAATCAATAAGGGATCGATTCAATGTGTCTTAATTTAATAAAGTTCTACTATCTGCCGTTTTTAAAGGATCAAAACACAACCGCAATGGCAGCTGAAGAATCTTGAACCAGTTTCGGGAAGAATTTCCCCTGAATTCTCTCTGTGAGGGAAATTCAGCCAGTCGCTGCGGACCGCGGAGCACTGCCCTGGAGCAGCTCTCCTGTTACTAACCGCCAGAGTACTTGCCTCTAACAGCATTTGAGAAGACAAATGTTCCCTGTGCTCGGCTGCAAATGGATTAAAGCAGTGTTGATCCTCATCTGTCAGAACAATTAACATGAGTAAAACATTTGCCCTACTTAAAGCAGATGGAGGGAGTGGGTAGGAAGGGCTGTGGTACTGTGCGGAAGATTAATGGTGCTGTGTGGGCAGCAGAGAGCACTGGATTTATTTTCTCAACATTAGGTGGATTTACAGGGATGTCAGTTATTGCTGAAAGCACAGACTGTGTTCTTAGAGGGTCTCTGTAGGGTATTGAACGCGGCGTGGAAGAAGTGTGACGTGGGGGATGGTACGTGAGCCGTATAGCATTTTGCCGGTAAAATACGACTTGTTGACCGTTTTCCCCTCTTTTATGTTCAAGCTCTGCTGAATTCAAGGCTTATTAGTAACCTGGCTTCTTAGAGGATGTATAAATATTGTTATAAGGGTTTTTGATAAAATAAATGGAGTAGATAGAGACAGGACTGTAATCCCTTGAGACCACAGCTCTGTGTTTGCAGGGAGACGTTGGATCCCCTTTGCCTTCCCTTAGAAGGCGGGAGGGTCAGGTAGGAGGGAAAGAAAACAGAACGTGTTAATTAAGAATGAGATCTATCTAGGAGGATTTTATTATTCTTTGACAGTGGAAGTGGATTGGGAACAGTGTTGAGGTTAGCACAACAATGGCGGAAGACACTAGCATGAGAAATGATTTTACATGAGTGCTGCATCAAATTTTAATTATAGGAGGCCTACTAAGCAAGGAATCTGGTTGTTGGCAGAAATTTAGCTGTCACTGCAAGGGCCAGACTCAGGGGTGAGAGGGGAGTATCGCTGAGTTAATCACCTGCTTTGGGCAGAGTGGGCTGAGTCTGTCATCCCAAACATGGCCCTTGTAGATCTTCTGCCTTCTCTCTGGGAGCTACTGAGATGGTCCACTCACTACTGTCATGTCCTGTTTCTGAGCAGGGGCAGCTGGAGGGGAGAGTCGTAGTGAACCATTTGAGGACTGTGGGTGAGTCCAGAAGTGTTTTTCCCGTGTCTTCGGGAGTATATCCCACCTGTGCCTCGCCTATCCAACCCCCATCCACCCCGTCTCTTTTCCCTTCTCAGGCCTCCCCCTCCCTACTCACAGCCTCATCCTCTCTCGCTCTCCACTCTGTGTCCACCAGGCCTGTGTTCTTTCTCCCAAGCTCTCTTTTCTGTCCATTCTTACGCTGGCCACTGTTCTGAGTATCATTCATGAGGACCGTGTCCCAAGTACCTCTTCGTTCTTGTTCTTTCACACAGTAAAATAATCTTCTAATATAAAGAGAAAAATAATTATTTTCTAACTTGAAAAAAAAACAGAAATCATAGGCTGGGTACAGTGGCTAATACCTGTAATCCCAGCACTCTGGGAAGCAGAGGCAGGCGGATCGCCTGAGCTCAGGAGTTCAAGAGCAGCCTGAGCAAAAGTCGAGTCTGTGTCTCTACTAAAAATAGAAAAACTAGCTGGGCACTGTGGCAGGCACCAGCAGTCCAAGCCACTCAGGAGGCTCAGGCAGGAGGATCACTTGAGCCCAAGGGTTTGAAGTTGCTCTGAGCTTGATGCTACAACACTCTACTCAGGGTGACAGAGTGAAACTCTGTCTAAAAAAGAAGAAAAGAAATCATTTTATCTTTGTTACAGCATTATTTTAAATTAATAAAGATTAAAAATGACAGAAATATGATTAAGGGCCGTATGATGTATTAACTGGATGGCATTTACTCAGCCATTAGAACTGTAAATGTCAAGACCGTATACCCATTTGGGAAAATCTACACCGAATAACACTAAATTGTCAATATATGTGTGCTATGATCCCAGCTTTTTAAAGAAAAACACAAACATTTTGAAAAATGGAAAGAACCATGGAGAAACCTAATAGCCATTATAGTTGTGATTTTTTTTGGAGCCGGGGAATAATTTCTTTCCATAAAGTGGTTTTAATGGCAAAATATGTTTTATGATAACATTGTTTATAATAATAAACAGGATTATATCCTTGATTACAAAGCTCCTTTTTGCTTTCTGATGGTGCAGCTAAGGACTTTGCATGACTGGTGAGCCTCGGTTTTCCATCCTGTGTACCTCAGAGATTTGGTGGGATGGTTTCGTAACTGCTGCCAAAGGTCCGCATTGTGTAACTGTGCACATCACAGGACGACCTCCCATACCTGGCCTGGTTCCTCCCACAGTCCCTATCGCAGAGGAGCTGATCCATGTTAATCTTTAACGTGTATTTGTCCAGTACCTGCTTTGTGCTGGGCACAGTGCTGGATGTTGGAAGTCAGGTAGACACAGTCCCAACCCTCAAGGAGTTCACAGACGTAGAGGAGACCAAAGGAACAAGGCCACTGCGATAGGGTGGTGGATGCCTGGTGGGAGTGAGGAGAGCACGTGGAGTGGTGCCCTAGTTCAGGTGGGAAACCTGCAGTCTTGGGGCTGCATGTGGCCTTCTAGATCCCTGAGGGCCTTTTGATGGAATTACAACCCCTTTAATAAAAGGATTTGTTGTGTGAAGCGCAGATTTGGTCCAGGAGCTGCATTCTCGAATCTGGAAGGCCACATGGTAATCCACCCTGCTGGGGGTGGTGGTGGTGGTGGTGGTGGTTCTCAGTCCACGCTGAGGAATTTGGACTCGACCTGAGGGTAAAAGTCAGCCAGTGAAGAGGAGCTATTGTTTGTTTGCATTTCTATTTTAGCAAGAGAGTTGATATCATCAGAATTACACTTCAGAGTGTTGACTCTGGCTTTGGAGATTAGTTTAGTGAGAAGGCTGGAGGTAAGAAACCAATTAAAACACTATTGCTGCAGTCCAGGTGAGCAGTGGTCCCTGAGCTGGGGTGGTGACGATGGGCTACAGGAGGAGTGGATGGTTTCCAGGAACACTTATGAGATCAAATAAGCAGAAATTGATAAGAGTGAGGGATGTGGAGGAAGAATTTGAAAAGGATACCCAAGTCTCTGGCTTAGGCAAATGGGCCTGTAGAACGTGGCTCTTAGCCCTTATTTGTTGATTTAATTGACCTTGGTGACAGCGCAGCAAGGTGGATGTGTGGGGTGGGTTGTCTTGGGAGGGAAGAAGGCGGGTTGAGCTTGGGCTGTGTGGAGTGTGCCCCTCTGGGTGCAGAGGTAGCTGGTTATACAGGCCTGGGGCACAGGGAGCTGTTAGCCATAGCTCTGCAACTTTGAGATCAGTGTTTTACTCCTGTGTCTTGAGGAACATGCTAGAGCTTCGTTAGTAAAAGTTTCTCCTCCCCCCCTACTGGAATTCTGATGCTCAACGTAGTCTTTAGATTCTCAAGTGCTGGCAACACAGGTGCAGGAAAGTAACTTTTCCCATTTGAGGGTTTACTAGCTGTGGTGGGCAGGGCGTGGGTCCTCTCTGCTCCTCCATCGAGTGCTGCCCTGTTACTGCAGTCCTCAGGAGCTAACCTGGCTGCAGCATTTGACTCTACTACTATGATCCTTCTTATGTGGCATTTTAATATAGAGAGCAAGAGAAAAGGGCATTTAGGAACCATTTCTCAGTGAGAAATCCAAAGGCAAAGCCACTTACACATTATAATAAACACCTCGCTGAGAGGTGGAAAAAATAGAATTATCTCTTGAATTTTCTAATGGATACTTAAACTTGCCTTTTTTAAAAATGGGAAAATCAGCTCCTCGAAAATTGGCACAGGATGTGGCTATCCAGACTTGAGAGAAAGTGATTTGTCCTGCTGTTTGGAGTAGGAGGTAGGAGATAGGGTTCAGAAAAGAAGGGAATATTTAAGGCAGTGGTTTTCAAACTTCTTTTTTTTTCTTTATCTTTTTCTGGTTTTTTTTTTTTATTTTTTAATCAAGATCCATGCTGATCACAACATGCTAAATTTTATCTCAAGACCCATTTGTTCATGGATCATGCCGTACAGGTTGAAAAACATTCACAAAAAGTACTCTAGGGATGGTGGGGATGATTTTACCTGTTCCTTAAAGTTTGAGTGTATTTTAGAGTTCATTATGAGAAATATCATGTGGTTGATCTTTAATTAATCCTCTGGGGGCAATCCATAGCATATTTGCATCTCATACAAAGCTCATGTGCCCTCCTAAATATGTTTCTGAGCAAGTTGAACGAGATTTTCAAAAGTTAAATGCAGAGGGTGCCAGAAAAAGGTATACGCACTTCAAGAGAGGAAAAAACTGTATTAAAGTTGTAATACTCGATATATACCAATAATGTTTATTATCTCATATATTGTATCTTGTATCCCTTGTAATTGCAAAAGTCAAGCATGACTTGAATAGTACAACTTTAATACAGTTTTTTTCCTTTCTTAAAATGCATGCACCTTTTTGGTATCCTCTGCGTACTGTGGCCCCTGTGGCATCATATCTATTTATTTGTCCCTACTCCCCCCACCCCCGTTTGAGTGGCTAATCGAACACTAACTACAGTGATCTCATTTGCATTTTCCTTGTCAAATGTGAATAGCTAAATTAACTTAGTCTTCCTGGAATATACCCAAATGTTAAGAATCATTTAGGACCTTTCAGAACCATTTGGTCTATTAGCTCTATCTTGAGATAAGCAGAATAAATAAGTCCCTGAAATCAAAGGAAAACTAATTGTAGTACCTCTTTCCAGCTTTGAGTCATCAAAGCTTGACTGTCTCAAGTATGATCTAATGGGGTTCATTATTTTGTTTGTTCTACTCTTCATAATTCTGAGATAATTTTACATTTGCATTGTTAATGTCCATTTTTCAAAATTTGTTGACATGTCTATTTGTTTTCAAGAATAATAATTTATTAGAATTTCAAGGTATGAAAGCTATGCATGCCCACTTTAACAAGTCAAACAGTATAGAAATATGCCATGAAAAAGCCCACTCAGTCTCTCTCCCCTAAGTTTTTATCTTCCTCTTTAACCAATGTTAACAGCTTTGGGTTTATTCTTCAATACCGATTTAAGCTTATATAAAAATGTACAAATATTTGGCTGGGTGCAGTGGCTCACACTTAAAATCCTAGCACTCTGGGAGGCCAAGAGGGGAGGATTGCTTGAGCTCAGAAGTTCAAGACCAGCTTGAGCAAGAGCGAGACCCCATCTCCACTAAAAATAGAAAAATTAGCCGGGTGTTGTGGCGCACCCCTATAGTCGCAGCTGCTCGGGAGGCTGAGATAGGAGGATCACTTGAGCTGTTTGAGGTTGCTATGAGCCGTTAACTTTAAAGAGGTGAGTTTGATGCCTCGTGTTGTTATTATTTCATGGTCATTTGGACAGAAACTTTGTAGTCCTCTCTGAACCCTGCCTCAAGTTTTCCAGTCAGACTTGGTCTATATTAACTCAGGTGCTTGTATTGTTTGAGCAGAATTATGTCCTTTTGGTGTGAACGGTTCATTGATATGGCTCCCGTTTCTTCTAGAGTTGGATTAGAAGGTTCTGCCTCTTCTTATATAGAATCCTGCCACCAAGTAGTAATCCTTTTCTTTCTCAATGTTCCATGGTGCCTTAAGTCATTCAGCCAACATTTGAATGGCTTTCCGTTTTACTTTTTCTAGGTCAGATCACTGGACTATTGGTTGGTCAAGAACTGTGGGAGATTGGTCGTGGGGGCAGGGAAGGGAGAAGCTCCTTCCTGATGTGGGGGATCCTGCAGGGAGGTCAGTTGCTGATGAGTTCCAGGACTTCCTGGGGTGACAAGCAGACATCCTTGAAGCTCATTGTTCCAAGATACCTCACAATTTCTGGGGGATTCCTTTGCTTCTGTTCCTGGGGCTGCCCAGTAACCACCAGTGAAATGATAAGGAACACAGAGCCACCAATTACCTTCTCTCATCTGTGCATTTTGCTAATTGTCAAACTGAAGCTTAATCCATGTGGGGGCAGAGATGCAAGCTAATCAGTGCCAGGGTGATGAAACAGCTGTTTTCTATGCTTCCTCCTTTCATCTGTAGGTTCAAGAGAATGGCTCCCTGTCTGATGAGAAATTACCTTGTGCTATGGTGTGATTATTCTCTGCCAATCTTGTCTTAGAAGCTTCCTCGTGAATCAGGGCAGTTGTGATTAGGAGTTTTGTGTCATCGACAGACACCTAAGTGAACTTCTGGGACATGCCAGATTCCCTTACAAAACAGAGATGGCTTTGAAGAGCTTCTGGCATGTTTGAAGCCAAAGCTTCTTGGGGACAGGATGTACATACTCAGCACTTCCCTGGAGTCCTAGTTCAAGATGCAGAAAACCCAGTAGAGGGGCCAGGACCCCCCCCCTTTACTTTCAGAGACTCCTATCAGCCTAAAGGTACTGCTGGCAACCTGGCAGTAGCTGGATCTGACCCTCAGAGTTCAAATCTTGTCCTTAGAGATCAGTATTCCTGAGGCCTCCTTTGTGGGACCAAAAACACACATCAAGAGTTGCTTGTGCTGTAACCACTGACCCCATTCACAAAGAGGCCATGGTGTATAGCATGACTACTTGTCAAACTTTATAAATAGAGGCAAACGTCATATGTTAGAGATGAATTTTAAGGACCCACGTAAGAAGAGTTACACACAAAAGTCAGTAAATACTACCTTGAACTGCACTATGTGGCCAACATTTATATGATGTTTATGACATACAACACTTATATGGATAGTCCCTGTCCTCCCAGTACCCCTAGAAGGTGGGTGAGAACCCCGTGGTGGGCGTGCATAGCAGGGGCTGGGCCCTGAAGTAATTCTGAAGTAATTTAGTGGCACAAAAATAAATAGCAGGCAAGCTCCCTATCATCTGTGGAGTGCGGTTTATCAGAAATTTTCACAGATGGGCCTTCCTGCCTGAGAAGTGGGAAAATGGAACCTTGCACAGTTTGGCAAGAGCAGGATGATTCTGCCACGGAGTAGAAATAAAGTCCAATGAAGAAAAGGAGAAAAAAAATTGAAAGGAATAAAGGAACTGGTTGTGTCCTATAGCTCCTTTCATCCCTGTTTTAAGGAAATAGGTGACATAGGGTGGCACCTGTGGCTCAAAGGAGTAGGACAGTAGCCCCATATACCAGAGGTGGAGGGTTCAAACCCAGCCCCAGCCAAAAAAGAAAAAAAGAAAAGAAAAAGCAATAGGTGACATAAAGAAGAAAAACTTTTTTAAATTAAGGCACTACATTAATCACTTCTTTCCATAAAGGCTAGACCTGCTAATGATCTTGTCCTTTAAAAAAAAAAAAACCATTTGTGCATCTTACTGAGACTCCTAGGAATTTTGCCTTGGAGTTTAGGTATCTGCGGTACAGCCATCTAATTCTGTCATAGTGGCTATAGCTGAGGCGTCACGTACTTGCCATCCCCAGAAGAAAGCACTTTATTTAACCAAAGTGAAGTTGAGCAATGCATGAAAGCCAGAGCAGAATAGAAACATTATCATCTATGCCCATCTCCCAAACCGTGCACTTGCTG